TTCCCAGGGACCGGCCGTCCACTGCATCCTGATGTGCTGCGATAGCAGCAACATACACTTTCAAGGTGGAGGGTGACAGCCTACGCTTCAACCTTTCTTGCAGGAAAGAAAGCACAACACTAATCGAGCATCTCTGGGGGTTTTCTCGGTGAGAAGAACACAAATTCGTGAACGGACTCCACTTCAAAGCATAGGCATGCCTCATAGAGGGAGCTCTAGCCGGAGGGATAGTGTCTACCACCGCTGGTGGTAGGTCACTTAGGTCTGCCGCGTCCCGTCCAGAAGCCACACATGGAGGTTCCAGAGATCTGGACGCAGGTACCATATGGTGCCCAGCCCCTGAGAAAGAAGGTCCTTCCTCAGGTGGATGCGCCAGGGAGGGGCTGTCACGAGGAGCATGAGTTCCGAAAAACCAGTTCCGGGTGGGTCGGGCCAGAAAGGCGCAACCAACAGGACCTGTTCCTCGTCCTCCCTGACCTTGCACAGTGTCTGTGCAAGCAGGCTCGCAGGGGGAAACACATACTTGCGTAGAGCCCGAGGGCAGCTGTGTGCCAGTGCGTCCGTGCCCAGGGGGACCTGGGTCAGGGAGTAGTACAACCGGCAGTGGGAGGACTCATGGGAAGCAAACAGGTCCACCTGAGCTTCCCCGAATCGACTCCAGATCAGCTGAACCACCTGGGGATAGATTCATCTTTCTCCGGGGAAAGTGAGCTGCCTTGAGAGCATGTCGGATGCACGGTTGAGTTCCACCGGAATGTGGACAGTGCGCAGCAACTTAAACCACGCCTGACTCCAGAACAGGAGATGGCGGGCGAGTTGCGACATGCAACGTGATCGTAGACCTCCCTGATGGATTATGTACGATATAGCCGCAGCGTTGTCCGTGTGGACCAACACGTGGTTGCTCTGCAGCAGCGGCCGGAACCTCTGCAGAGCTAGAAGCACTGCCAGCAACTCCAGGCAGTTGATGTGCCAAAGCAGTCGAGGCCCTGTCTAGGACCCCGAGGATGCCTGCCCATTGCATGTAGCACCCCAGCCTGTCCTGGAAGTATCTGTTGTGACAACAACATGCCGGGACTTGTTCTAGGGGCACTCCGGCCCATAGAAAGGCAAGGTCAGAACAGGGGCTGAAAGTGCAAAGGCACATCTGCGTGATGGACATGGCGCCATGCCCATCTCAGGATTCTGCTGTGTAACCAGTGCTGAAGCTCTCTCATATTGCTGTGGATAAAAGTCTTCTCTGTCTTGCAAAATAATGCTCAGGAGGCAGAGTTGCAGAAGTCAAAATTAGACTTTATTGCAAGAAGACAACAAAGCCGAGATGCTTGCAGAACATCTGAATCTATCTTTGTCCGGACCACCAACTTTGTACAATTTTGTTATTTCCATTTTTTTCCCCCAGCTAGTGAACAATAAAAACATCAATTAAAAAAATAACCCTAAAGTGGATTATATATACAATATAGTTATAATTATAGTATTCTTTCTTGGTGTGAATGGCCCTTAAATAATGACAGAACTTTCTTTTTTGGAACTTTTTTAAAATGAAATTTAATGAACATTTTCTACATTTTTCAGTAGAGGAAAGTAGAAAGCAGGGAGAAGAACTTTTCTCATTGCAAAGAGGCACTTATCTGAATGAAAAACTATCAGCAGCCATATATAGTACAGTAACATGTATCATGCAGTTAATCCAGCTTACTGAAGAGGTTTCTATATTTGCATTCAGTGATATCAGGAGTTCAGACTGTGTGAAGCATCTCTGGGGGTTTTCTCGGTGAGAAGAACACAAATTCGTGAACGGACTCCACTTCAAAGCATAGGCATGCCTCATAGAGGGAGCTCTAGCCGGAGGGATAGTGTCTACCACCGCTGGTGGTAGGTCACTTAGGTCTGCCGCGTCCCGTCCAGAAGCCACACATGGAGGTTCCAGAGATCTGGACGCAGGTACCATATGGTGCCCAGCCCCTGAGAAAGAAGGTCCTTCCTCAGGTGGATGCGCCAGGGAGGGGCTGTCACGAGGAGCATGAGTTCCGAAAAACCAGTTCCGGGTGGGTCGGGCCAGAAAGGCGCAACCAACAGGACCTGTTCCTCGTCCTCCCTGACCTTGCACAGTGTCTGTGCAAGCAGGCTCGCAGGGGGAAACACATACTTGCGTAGAGCCCGAGGGCAGCTGTGTGCCAGTGCGTCCGTGCCCAGGGGGACCTGGGTCAGGGAGTAGTACAACCGGCAGTGGGAGGACTCATGGGAAGCAAACAGGTCCACCTGAGCTTCCCCGAATCGACTCCAGATCAGCTGAACCGTCTGGGGATGGAGTCGCCATTCTCCGGGGAAAGTGAGCTGTCACGAGAGCACGTTGGCTGCACGATTGAGCTCCCCCGGAATGTGGATGGTGCACAGCGATTTGAGCCATGTCTGACTCCAGAGGAGGAGATGGCGGGCAAGTTGAGACATGCGACGTGATCGTAGAACACCCTGATGGTTGATGTACGAAACAGCCGCAGTGTTGTACATTCGGACCAACACGTGCTTGTCCAACAGCAGCGACCGGAACTGCTGCAAGGCTAGATGTACTGCCAACAACTCCAGACAGTTAATGTGCCAAAGCAGTCGAGGTCCTGTCCAGGACCCCGAAGCTGCCTGCCCGTTGCCAACGGCGGAACAGAAAGAAAAAGATTCCCTGCCCGGCCCAGAAGAGCAGTCTCCCACATCTCCGGGTTGCCCGTGTCAGGGCCGCTTCGTCATCTTCCTAGAGAATCTAGCGGCCGGATGCGACATGGGGGGCACTGCTCTCCTGTGTGGGGCTCGATGCGCCGGCCTCGATGATGTCTCAGCGCGGGGCGGAGCCAGTGTGGAGGACGCAGGAGGGCGCCCACGGCGACGAGCAGGCTGAGACACAGCCCGCGACGGAATCGTGACAGTTGGAGGATCACGTTGGGGAAAGATGTGCTGTATGGCCTCAGTCTGCTTGTTGTACTGCTGAGAACTGCTGGGCACAGCCCTCAACACAGGCCAGCCTGGGAGATGGGAGCGTCAAGAAAGCGCACTTTGTCAACGTCTCTCATCTCGATCAGGCTGAGCCAGAGATGGCACTCCTGGATCACCAGAGTAGACATCGCTTTCCCGAGGGACCGCGTCGTGACTTCCGTCGCCCAGAGGGCGAAGTCAGTCGCCGTACGCAGCTCCTGCATCAACCTTGGGCCGGCTTGGCCCACAGCACTGTAAGCTTTGGCAGCGAGAGCCACCGACAGCTTATAGGCTTTGGACGGGAGATGCGGACAATTCCTCCAAGTGGCGGCGTCTTGCGGGCACAGGTGCACAGCAATCGCTCTCTCCACCTGGGGAATGTCGACGCACCCCCTTGCCGCCCCACCACTGAGGGTAGTGAGGACGGAGGAAGGAGAAGAGCGGCTTCTGGCCGTAAAAGGGGCCGTCCACGACTACATCACTTCCTCATGCACCTACGGGAAGAAAAGAAACCAGAGCAGAATGCAGTTGTGAGCCGCGCTCCGCACCGAGAAACCAATCATCCAGCCGCGAGTGCTCAGGGCTGGGCGGTGTATTCACCTCCAACCTGATGCTCACAGCTGCCCGGGCAATCATGGCCGTCAACTCTGGGTCTGATTCGGCAGTGGTGACAACACCCAAGGGGGGCAGCCCTGCCGAATCTTCATCCTCAGAGGTCAACAGCCCATCCCCCGATGCTGCAATCGACATCTGATCCCCCGGCGGGACACCGAATGACATGCTGGGACCGCCATAAGACATCCCAGCAGAATCACCCAGCAGCCGCAGAGGACAAGCGCTGCGGAAGGGGTGAGAGGTCCGTGGGGCGTGGCCCGGCGGAGAAGCGCTCACTGTCACCCTCAAATCTCCCAGAGCACTAGCCGGCGGTTCTCTGCTCGTGGCAGAGAAACCGGGATGGGAGGTAACAGAGGGGTCTGCTCCTTTCCCTTTAAGAACGGAGAAACGTGATCACAGCGTTGCAATGGTCACGCACTCGCAGTGCGGGCATGAACCATCCACGATCGTCTTCAGAGTGCTGAATGCCCAGACATGGAAGACAACACTCGTGACCATTGTCAGAGGTCAGGACATGGATGAAATGGCGTCTATAAAAAGACGCGAATCGTCCGTGATTTGCTCTTTTAGGAAATCTGCTCTTTTATTTGAAGCGCCCAGGGGAATCGCTGAAAGGGACATCGCTGTTTGCGCCGTACCTCCAACCAGAACAGCTTTCCGACACACAGCAGATGAATGGCTTTGTAGAGTATAACAGCTTTTCATACAACCATTCGGCTCCGAAGCAAAAATCTGAAGAGTGGATGCACCTGTCGCCTATTTATACCCGTATGCACGGGGAGTGGCTCAGGAATGCAAAATCCACTAGCCAATTCTCATTGGCATTTTCTCTTAAACTCAGAGATGATTGGCCTCCCAAGTGAGACCCCATATGTTGTTCGACATAACTCGTAGTTATTTTATTTTATTTTAGAAACATGTTAACACCAAACTGTATTAAAATCAGCTGAATGTTGAGTCACCTGCTATGTGTAAGGCACAGAATTGAATTCACAAAAAGGTTTCGGGAAAAGAGAATCTAAGTCACTGTAAGAAGAAAAGACAAATTAAAGGCAAATGATTCATTAGTAAAATATATAAAAGGCACGAGATACACAGCAGCATGCAAGCCGTGAGTGGTTTTGTTTTGAGGGAGACTCTGAGCCCTTCAACAACAAAATGCCGAAACGCCTGTTTAAATGAAAAAAATAAACTCAAACAAGCTGTGCACAATCATCAAATCCAGAAAGAACATGGAAAATGGCAAAAGATACGACCATCAGCCCCGAATCCCCACGTCCTACCATATTCACTCATTTCTATTAAAGCACACGGTTTAGCTATAAAAACCACTTCAGATCCAAACGCACACCAAAGCTACTCTCCAAAAACAACAACAACAACAACAACGTCCATGCAAGCTAATCACCATCGTGTTTGAGTCTAGTGGTAGCGCTTATGAATTCTGACTTTGCTGGACTCGTTCACTTCTTAGGTTACGTTAACCAAACGCGAGCCTGTCAGATCAGAGAGAGACAGTAACATTGAGTCACGGCTGGGAAGAGGAAGAGACAGACGTAGACTTTTCAGGAGTTGCAAATAAAACGCACACAGCATCCACACAGGTAAAATGCAGACGCACACACCTCATAACCTGGCGGAAAGGGGGAGGATACAGTAATGGGGAATGATCATCCTCACTATCTCTACGACACAAAGAGAACAGCATTATGTGACACAGGAATCCATCCACAATGCACAGAAATCAACACAAGCGTATTGCATAGGGGTGGGAATCTTTAGGCACTTCCAAACCCGATTCTGGGAGTCACGATCCGATTCCAAATCCGATCCGATTTTCCGAATTAATTCTTCTGCTGTGCAAATACATCGTTACAATTTCACATTTTAACCAAAATTGCAGTTTCTATGCTTTTTGTTTATAGTTGGAATCTCTGTATGAATGTACTGCCAACTTAAAAAATAGCTAGGGGTGTGAATCTTCACTGGTTTCACGATTCAGTTATGATTATCATTATCAACTCAATATCACGAATGCGTCACATTCTCAGTTCTCAATATTACTGCACATGGCTACATTTTCATATAAATTTTATATCAAATTTAATTTGTGCAAAATTTACTTTATTTTTTATTATATAAGCCGGCTGCATTTACACTAATGCACAGAGCTATTTCGATATATCAGATGTTCTGTCCTGCTCTGAAAACATACCTGACTGTATTTACATCAATTTCCTATAAAAGTATCCAGAGATGCAAGTGCATTTATCCGCGGCCGCGAATTGCGATCGAGCTTCAGGACAAACACAAAGCGCACGTGAAAGTCTGTCAGTGCGCGAGTTTCGTGCATTTAATAGTACTGCATTCCAATGAATGCATATCTAAAGTGAAATACTGAACTAACAATGCGTCAAGCAATGCGCATGTGTCTCACAGCACATATTCTGTGCAATGAAGTCCGCCACGTCTCTAGCGCGCACACGTGACATTTGCGCGGGAAAAAAAACAAGCTCAGAATCGATGAAGAGAGAATCGCGATGCATCGGAGAATTGATTTTTTCTCCCACCCCTAGCAACAAGTAGGAATATGATACTGTTGATCATCACTAATTTATCTTTAAAGGTGAAGCGCATCATTTTCAAAGCTTTTGGCGCCAAAAATAATGGCATTTCCAGAATCTGGAAAAGAATTGAGCGAATCCGTGACGCTTTGAAAGCGATCACTGGGAATCAACCTATGAATTACTTACTTCTAATGACTCTAATGTGATACAAGGATGTTTAAAAATTACACACAACACCTTTAAAGCAAGGCAATGGCAAAAAGCAATTAGTCTAAGATAAGATCTTTTTCGATATCATATTTTTACATAAGAGAATGTAGATAAATGAGAGAAGTCTTAAAAGATTATTTTACCCCAAAATGTAAATTTGGTTGATAATACACATCCAAGATGTAGATGAGTTTGTTTCTTCATCAGATTTGGAGAAATGTAGCATTGCATCACTTGTTCACCAATGGATCCTCTGCAGTGAATGGGTGCCGTCAGAATATCTTTATATTTATATATTTAACAATATATATATTAAATTGTCTACATATTGCAAGATTCAGTGAACTCTGGAGTGATGATGCTCTTAGCCCAGTATAAATAAATTAAATACAAGATGATTATAGCATACATTTACTATAAAAATGTAGATTCAAATGTGTGAAAAAAAAGAAAGAAAAGCTTCAGTCATTAACTGATGGACTGGAGTGCTGTGGATTACTTGTGATGTTTTTATCAGCTCTCATTCTGACGGCACCCATTCACTGCAGAGCAACTGATGCAATGCTACATTTCTCCAAATCTGATGAACAAACAAACTCATCCTATTTTCGGATGGCCCGAGGTTGAGCACATTTTCAGCAAACTTTCAATTTTGGGTGAATATTTCTTTAAAACTAATGAAAGTACAAAAACAATATATAGTCATCAATAGTCTTGTTACACTTACCCATAAGGCCGTTGGATAAAGGTAGGGTGTATTTGAGGGACACCAAATGAAAACCCTGTGAAAAAACGCAACCTTGATGCATTTATTTATTTTTATTTTTTAACAATACAAGAAAAACGCATATAATGACCAAAATTACAAAGTTTTTGAACAGTATGATTTTTTATGTTTTCTTAAAGAAGTCTCTTCTGCTCACCAAGCCTGCATTTAATTGATCCAAAATACAGCAAAATCAGTAAATTGTGAAATATTTTTACTATTTAAAACAGCTGTTTTCTATGTGAATGTCTGTTAAACTGTAATTTATTTCTGTGATGCGCAGCTGTATTTTCAGCATCATTACTCCAGTCTTCAGTGTCACATGATCTTCAGAAATCAGTAGAATATGCTGATTTGCTGCTTGAGAAACATTTATTATTATTATTATGTTGAAAAATGCTGAGTAGAATTTTTTCAGGTTTCTTTGATGAATAGAAATTTATCGGAAATAGAAATCTTTGGATCTTTCTATTCATCAAAGAATCCTGAAAAAATTTACTCAACTGTTTTAAATAATTATTCATAATAATAATAAATGTTTCTTGAGCAGCAAATCAGCATATTATACTGATTTCTGAAGATCATGTGACACTGAAGACTGGAGGAATGATGCTGGAAATACAGCTGCGCATCACAGAAATAAATTACATTTTAACAGATATTCACATAGAAAACAGCTGTTTTAGATTGCAAAAATATTTCACAATTTTTACTGCTTTGTATCAAATAAATGCAGGCTTGGTGAGCAGAAGAAACTTCTTTTAAAAAAACATAAAAAATCATACTGTTCAAAAACTTTTGACTGGTAGTGCATGAACAAGTTTATTTCTACAATAAAACAAAAACATTCAAATTGGTTAAATTGGTTACAAAATATATGCATGCCATCAATCCTGGAAACAAAATTATTTTATTTTCCAAATGTTTTGTATGTTCCTCATTGCATTTCACATAAATGTGTCCCTGCAGCACAGAAGCAGTGTTAAGTCGCTGGGGGATATTTGTAGCAATAGCCAACAATACATTGTATGGGTCAAAATTATAGATTTTTCTTACATGCCAAAAATCATTAGGATATTAAGTAAAGATCATGTTCCATGAAGATATTTTGTAAATTTCCTACCGTAAATATATCAGAACTTAATTTTTGATTAGTAATATGCATTGCTAAGGACTTCATTTGGACAACTTTAAAGATGATTTTCTCAATATTTTGATTTTTTTGCACCCTCAGATTCCAGATTTTCAAATAGTTGTATCTCGACCAAATATTGTCCGATCCTAACAAACCATGCATCAATGGAAAGCTTATTTATTCAGATGATTTCAAAACATGGACCATTATGACTGGTTTTGTGCTCCAGGGTCACAGATAATCCTGCTGTTCCACAGTTACGCTGCATTATTGTTGTTACTGTGTGAAATCTCAGATAGCACCTGAAGGCTTCGGCTCATTTAGGAGCCAGCGAGTGATGCTCTCTGTCATGCAGCTCGTCTGTATGCATGTATCTGGGTCTGCGGAGAGCGACGGATCCTCTTACCCGGCTGCATGATCCGTGGTTTGGCCCCGAGGTACGCCAGGTTGACGTTGGCTTTCCTGCCGTCTATGATGGGGTTTGGGTCCTTACAGGCTCTTTCTGCCGCAGCTCGATCGGACATCGTCACCTACACATACATGAGACCAGGAGCACAAACACAAATTCAGTGTTTTCAGTGATGCTGCATGTGAACGTGACTGCAAGTAAACTGACAGACAACAATCAGGGTTATCACAGTTAACTAAAACCATAAAAAACATTTTCATTACTTGAAATAAAATACATGTTAACTGAAATAAACACAACAAAATACCTAAAACTTTTACAAAAATGAAAATGGAAAATATAAAAATAATTTTTTTTATAGTATCTCAATGATCCTAAAATAACACTGATAACGATAGACAGACAAACAATAATGATCAGGGATATTATAGCTAACTAAAACCATAATTTAAAAAACATTGTTACTTGAAATGTACTTTTAAATTTTACTTGAAACATTAACTGAAATAAAATAAAAAACAATGACTAATATATGCATGTGTGTGTGTTTTGTATTTATATACACACTTATATAGATACTTATAAATTAATATATCTATCTATC